TTTATTGTGAAAATTGAGTAATTTTAGGTAGTGACTTTAAATTTAAATTCTGGGTCACATGTACAGCTCTTCAAAGGGAGGACCTTCCACAAATAATCACACTTTTATCTTTCTCAGAGGTAAGGATGAGAGCGTCTTCCCAATTCCAGTTAAATTATCAATATTTGTCACAAAAAATGCACAAGCCTGGGAGTCAAGGTTTACTCGTTCATTCAGCAAACCTTTATCTGCATTCATAGTTGTTGGAGTATATGCGTCCTAGACACCAGTGCTGGATGCTGGAGATTTGAAGATGATTTAAAGATGCCTAGGTCAGGGGGACTAAGATGTGGCCAGAGTGCCCTGGAAGTGGTTTCCAATCCCATTGCTCCCACTGAGTGCCTGTGAGACCCTCTGGCCTTCACCGTCATCATCTGTAAAATGACAGCTTTTGAGTTTAGTTTATGATTATAAGTATATGCTAAAATTTCATCAGTGCTGGATGCTTAGCGCTGTGGTAGATGCTGAACTAGGACATTTAAAAAAGTATAAAACAGTCTTGGCACGAAGAATCTTATGATCTGGTTGGGAAAACAAACTACAATTAGAAAATCGATAAATAATAATATTGAGAACCATGTGATTAGATGTAAAATAACAGATTGTAGTGATGAGAGTATATGAAGGTCATTATGCTTAGCATTTTATTGTATCAATGCTTAGCTGCAATTTCTGTTAACAAGTACTAGAGTGAACTACCTGATCTTATGCTATCAAGAATTCCCACTTGATAATTCCCACTTGCATAATCTGCAGAATGTGATAGTTTAACTTTCTTTGTTCTCCCACGTTAAACTTTAAAATAGTACATTCCCAGTATATTTAGGTAATTAGAATTTAGTAAAAGATACATTTTTAGAGCATAGTTCTTCATCCCAAAACTCTTTTTATGTTTTATTGCTAGGATATGTTTTTTGTTATTGTCACTGCTGTTTTCCCAGCACCTAGCACAGTGCCTGACGTTTAGTAAGCACTCAGGAAATACAGTTAAGGGACAAATTTGAAATTACATTTTAATTGTCAGCAATTTTAAAATCATTTAAAATTATTTTATTATTAAAAGATATTCAATTTGGAATATGGATATTTTAAACCTTACATCTAAATATGTGTTAAGACAAGTTACTGTTAAACAAATATAATTTTAATGAAGCTTGTAGTTTTTTATTTAGTAGGTTTTTCATATATGTGTAAGGAAATGCCTTTCTAGATGAATGAACTTTCCCACTATATTAATTATCTGTTGCTGACATCTGACTGTAACTTCATGGGAGCCCTCACCCCAGAACTGCCCAGCCAAGCCACTCCCAAATTCTGACACACAGAAACTGTGAGAGATAATAAGTGTTAGAAATGTGAAGTTTTGTGATATCACAATGTAAAGACTTTTATGTACTTTACTTGAAGACTTCATCAGTAAATCACTCTGCATTCTTTGCTTCTGAAAAGGGGTGAAGCACTTTAGAAGAAAAAGATAAATCAAGCCATCATGGCCAAGTTTCCTTAGTCAGACATAAAAAGGATGTATTTAGCCTTAAAATATTTATATAATTGTAAAATAGTTCATGTTCGTTATAAAAATCAAAACAGTGTAGAGAGGTAATTGGAGAAAGTTGTAAAAATCACCCAAAATCTTGCCACATTTTGGTGACTCTCCTTCTGAAATCTATTTATGTACATAGACACACACACACATAGATCTATGTTTTCCATAAGTGGAATCATACTATTCATATGTATTTTTCATTCTTTTTAACCATGCCCTTTTTGGATTAACAGAAAAACTAATGTTCTCCTTGACATGTGTGATTTGAAATTTCACAGTAAATTAAATGTGACCAAAACCAATTTTAGACAAAGGTAATTGAAGAAGGGGGAACATTTTAGTTTAATCTTAGACGAACCTTTAGGTAACATGACATTGGCTTGTTTCCCATAAATCTGTTTATCTTAGGTAATACAGAAGATAGAGCATAACAGATATTTTAAATAATTTCCTCAGCATTTCACTGAAGGAGAAGCTGAGTGCTGTATAGGAGAGAGATACCTGCTGATGGCAGCTTAGCCTTTCCTCTGTCGCCTTGAACAGTTCAGCCCCTGGCCCCAAATTTGTTGGAAAACAGAAGCCCTGCAGTTAACTGGAGATTAGCCATTTTAATGTGGGTATGCTCTTTGCGGAGTGTTGCCTCTGCCCCCATCCCCACTCCAAGTGAGCGATCTTTCCAACAACATAACAGCACTCTTTCTAAGGTGAATGTTGGTAAAATTTTCTTCTGTCTTTTCTGTGATGTTTTAGTGGCCCTTAAAAGATTGGCTAGCCCACCTATTAATCTGGCTCTCTTTCCATGTAAGGTTTGGCTACCACCTCACACTTTATGCTCTTGATTTCTCTTCCCCCAGACTTGCTCCTCTACTAGTCCTCCCTATTGAATAAATGCATTTGTCTCCATCGCCACTGCTGCTCCCCTAGTCCAAGTATCCATCACCTTTCTTGCCTGAAATGGACTCCTATCTGGTCTCCCTGTTTCCATTTTACTTCTTTAAAGTCTCTTTTTCCATACGGTAGACAGGGTGATCTTTTAAAAGCATAGAATCAGATAATATTACTCTTCTTAAAACCCTCCTTTGTGCTTGGAATAAAACCTGAATTAATTGCCACCGCCTACAGGCTCTGTGTGATCTGTCCCTTGCTTCCCCCTTGTCCTAGTCTTTTGCTGTTCTCTCCCTTATTCACTCTGCTCTAGCCGCATTGCCCAGATATATCAAGATTTCTTCCCCCAGATATATCAGACTTGTTCCTGCCTTCACGCCTTTGCACCAGCTGTTTCCTCTGCCTGGAATGCTCTTCCCCAGAACTTTGCATGGTTGTCCCCTTTGTGTTATTCAGGTTTCGGGTTTTACCTCCTCCAGAGGTCTTCCCCAATCTTCCAATGTAATGTAGCTCCTGTTTTATTGCAGCACCCTATTTAATTTTCTTTATAACATTTAGCAATCTTAAACCATCTTTATATATTTGTCTCTTGTTTATCATTTCTTCCTCCCTTGCTAGAATTTAAGTTCCATGAGACTGTAGATCTTGTCTGTCTTGTCCACCCTGTATTCCCAACACATAGAACAATGCTCAATAAATCTTATCTAAGTGAAAAAAATCAGTAAATGAATCACTCAGATGGAGAAATGGACTTTTTAACACCCTGAGGTGGCTGGAACCAGCTGTTCTTGTAAGGAAGAAAGGTGACAGGGGAGAGTGCAAAAACACTTTCCTAGTCCTGGTTAAAGCATAAAGTAAATAATGTAAGATGTGGCTTAACAGTGAATGTAACAATTCAGAAAATAATTTCACATTGAAGAAGGACGAGTTAATTTATTCAAACAAACTAGAATCAAGATTAATCTTGAGGATTTCCTGTACTATTAATAACTTCAGTTGTTAAGCTATGTACATAGATTATTTGATCTTCAAGCCCCAAAAGACACTTGATTGTGAATAGATTTTTTAAAAATCATTTTAAAGCATTGTTGGTTCAATATAACGTAAGAAAAAAAAATCTTAGTGTTGCTTGTAGGGTCATTACTGTCATTAGATTATATTTTGTAATGCTATAATTTGTGTGTTTTCCGTAAGTGTTTTCAAATAACTACTATGCTGTGGTCTAGAAAAGATTATACTATAAGGGAAAAATCATAGTACCTTTAATGAAATGTGTCCTGAAGAATTTTTTACATTGAAAGGTAAAGGAGAATGATTTCTTAAAACCTGTGAAAAATTAAAATAGGTTACTATGTGCAATTATTACCACAACTTGGTTGTTTAGTTTATAAACTGGTGTTTTTATTGGCCCCTAAAGATAAAGATGAATAATCAACCTAGTGATTTATGTTAAATATATCTGAGTTAAAGTTTCTTTCTGGTTCTTTTCTCTTTCACATTCATATAGTTTTGGGAAAAAGTGATAATAAATCTAATATGAGGTCTGAGTTAGTTTTTTTAGAGCCCACAGTTCTCAGATTTATTTTCAAATGACTGTTGCCCTTCAAAGGTCATCTAGGAAAGTTGTACGTTTATTCCAGCAATGCTTCCATCCATTAAACTGCTTTTGTAGGTTCTTTTTCAGAAATGCTTCAGAGCCAGTTTTGGAATTATGAAAGAAAATTACCCTCCTTGCTTACTTTATAAATTAAAAACCTCATTTTTTAAACTAAATTAAGACATATAATTACTCACTTGACTTCATATTAGTGTTTTTTTAATTTGTGAAGCCAATATTGCTGTTATGCAGTTGAAGTTATGACTTATAAGATCATGAAAGATATCTTGTAAAGTAAACCTGTGTAAACAGCAAAGAATATTGTATAACTTTGTGAAGTAATAGATTAAAAAAAAAAACAAGCTGTTGAGACCTGAGTGACTAACTCACCCTCCCTTTTAAATTTGCATTTTATCTGAAACTGTGGGAAGTGCATTGTGCTCTCCTGCAGATGTAAGGTATGGGGTGCCAAATCTAGAGGAAGCACTATACCTATGCGGAAAGAGAGAAAACCATCTGGTACCAGAAAAAGGCCCCAAGTGGGCTCTTTTTAGTACTGAGTGAAAGCTAAGAGTCTATATTTAAAATATGACCATAAAGCTACTCTTCTTTTACGATTTTTGGCATCAAAGACTATAGACCTGTTTTGAGTGATATACCTATTTTAAAAGTCGAGATACACTTCTTTGAGAGAAGTCGTTGAAACAGTGCAGGTGTTTGTTGTTAGAAGGCATATGAGTTTTATTGTGAAATAAATGAATTATTTGTTTTAGGGCAAGTCTTATTGTCTTGGCCTCCATGACCATTAAGGGCTTTTATTTTGTTCGATAAGCCAGTGTTTTAATCTTTTATCTATAAGGATCACTTTTTTAAATTAAATATCATAAATATGTGGGGTTTTAAAAAAGTCTTTTCTTCTCTTTTTTTTTAAAGCTGCACATCATTGACTCCTGGACCCAACTGTGACCGATTTAAACTGCACATACCATATGCTGGAGAGACATTAAAATGTAAGTAAATGATGACTGTTTTACTGAAAATGTAGATTACAGTGCTAGTTATTGGACTTTGTCCTCTAGTTTTTATTTCTGGCTGTTTGGTGTTATCTCCTAAGATATTGATCACTAGGATTTACCTCTTTTTAGAAATTTGTCTTTCAATTCTGGTTCTAGTCAAAGTAAGGCAGTCAGCAGGGAATAAGTTGTGGTCAAATAGGCAAACACAGAAATTCTTAATTTTTGGGCATGTGCGGTAATTCTTATACATTTTTTTTCTCCATAGGCAGATCTTAGGTAATACCCCAATGAAGAGTCTACTGCTTTAAAATATCTAACCATTTAGAAACAGTTTTTAGGTAGGAATGGCTGCTGCCCACCACTACTGCTAACTGCCCTGTGGAACCACTGTTGCCAAGCACCATTATCCATGATCTACTGCTGATTGCCACCTGAGTATAATAAGTGCTACCTCAAAGACTCTTGGCACAGGTTAGGAGTGTCAACATGTTATCTCTTTTATAGCAAGGGTCAGAAATGCAAATGGCTACAAGGTCCAGACTAGTAACATAAATGAGGGAAGCAGGCTAGGTGTGGCAAATTGGGGCACACCTACCCCATCTCCAGGAGACTGCCTCTATTGATTTATTGAGAGAAGGTGGAAATCTGAACTTAATATATAAATTCTGTCAGTTTTAGATGTTGGCCACTTTTTCAAAATTAAAAACCAACATTGTGCCAACATTGTGCAGGCCAAACCAAATGTGTGTGTGGGCTGCTTTGAGCTCTTGGACTACTGGTTTGTGACCTCGATGAATAGTGTGCAAGACCTACCATTGGATTTGGTCCACCATCAGCAGCCTCTGTCTACATTACGTCAGCCCTTCTCTGCCATTATTTCAGTATTGAAACTCTAGGTTAGTGTGGAAATGGCTTTGGTTGGTTAGTATCAATAATCTCGTCGGGAATTTTCTCTCTTGAAGCTATACTTGTGGTGAACAGGTTATTAAAGTCTCTCTATTCTTAAAAAGAAGAAAAAGAACATAGATGTTAAAGATGGGACAGATGAGTAAACAGTGCCTTTCAGACCATGGACTGTGTATTTTACCATTATAGGCCAGGAGGGGCCACATCTTAGTATTCTATAGAATCACTCTATCTTAAATTACTAAATGCAATGTAAAGTGAAAAATTTGTGACATGCTGACGTGTTAACCTTGTGTTATTAGATCATTCTCTGGAAACCATTGAAATACAAAAGAATTTCAGCCACCTGTGGTAGTGGGACAGATTAGATTGCTACTTTTTTGGAAAAAATCAACTGAATTTAAAAGAAATATCAAAGTTTATCATTCACATGGTTAAAATTTTAAATAGTTCAAAAATTTTTAATTAGTTTAAAAAAATTTTTTTTAAATAGTTCAAAAATATATGAAAATAGTAGTTCTCTGTCCTGTTTCTCTCCAGTCCCAGTCCTGGTCCCCAAGGGAACCACATAAAAATTTTTACAATTGTTTCAGTGTTTAGTTCTCTGGGGATGATCTCCATGTATCTAAATAATATGCTTATGCCTCTGTTTCTTGACTTATCAGTTTTAGATATTATCATCTTTTGACTTCCTGCTCAGGTGTATGAGGCATCAGCCTGTTTTCACTGCACCTTTTATCTCTCTTTTCTCCTCTTCTTTAGTGCAATTATTTCACCACTATTGGTTCCTGTGTTGGTTAACCTGTAGCTTTAAAATTTTTACTTTTTTTTTTTTTTTTTTTTAAGATCACCTTAGGCACTGTGTTGTACAGTTAAATGAGTAGTCCCTAAAAATTTTTATTAAATGCCTGGCACACAACCAGCACTGTTATTACTTAAGCACAATCTCTATGCAATAATGTGGAACACTTTATACTTTTATTTAGTTTCCCATTAAGAAACTAACTATTAGTGTCTTTTGGCTTCTTTGTAAGATGAAGATATTAGCCCCTGCTCTTCCTTTACCTCCCAACTTTTGTCTTCTGTTATTTTCCTTTGGCCTTGTCAAGATTGATAACTTATTGACTGTTCTAAATCTATAATTGTCTTCTGTGCTTTGTCTGTGAATTGCCTGAATGATTCTCTGTAGGCCTGCTCCTGCCCAATTATCACTTTGGGATTCACCTTTATTATTCTCTTGGATTTGACCTTATTTTGTAGAATCTATGTATTGAAAATTCTGTTTTGGGGCCAGCCCGGTGGTGTAGCGGTTAAGTTCGAGTGCTCTGCTTCGGCGGCCCAGGGTTTGCAGGTTCAGATCCCGGGCGCAGACTGATGCACCACTTGTCAAACCATGCTGTGGCGGTGTCCCATATAAACTAGAGGAAGATGGGCACGGATGTTAGCTCAGAGCCAATCTTCCTCAGCAAAAAGGGGAGGATTGGCAATGGATGTTAGCTCAGGGCTAATCTTCCTTACCAAAAAAAAAAAAAAATTCTGTTTTGTAGAATTATTTCCTGGTAAACAGGTTATCCCCTTATCTTGCTGGAACACAGTCTCAAATAACTTGCTCAGATTCCACTCCTCCCTCCACCCTTCCACCTTTCCTGTTGCCCTTCTGCTAATTTTTTATTACTACCGTCAGAATTACGTATCTTAATTTCTAAGAGCTCTTTCTTGCTCTTGCTCTCTGTTCCTCTTTCACAACATCTTGTTCTTATTTTTTGAATACAGTATCTTAAAGGCTTTCAAAGGGTATAAATTTTTAAAAAAATTTTCTTCTGTTTTCCGAATGATTTTAATTTTCCCCAAGGATTATATTTTTGTTTGTTATCGTTTTTTCCCTCTGTTATTCTATAGCCATTCCTTAAATAAAAGGTGGATTTTGGTTGTCCATTTATGTTTAAGATAGACAAGAAAACTCTTATTGGGCCTTCTGTATAGGTCAGCTGGGCTTATTGAGTGTGTGGGTTGATGGTGGGTGGGCTATTAGTATGAGGAACCCGTGTGTGTCTTACTTTGGAGTTAAACTGTTCTAGCTCTTCCTCAAATAGTTTGTTCTATTTCTTTAGAAAATCCTCTGTGTTTTTTTCTTGGGGATACACATCTGGTCACCATGGCATTTTTGGGGCGTGGGTATATAGATTATTCCCTGTGGAGCTTTTAGTTAATCTCCCTGTTCTTAGCCCCATGTCTCCTCCTTGCCTCTGCTTACACCGGATGACTGCAAGTTTTTATGGGTTTACCAGGACAGATGGCTTCCTCCTCATCAGTAGCCTCTTCCTCACATTATTGCAGCCAAAGCTTTCTTTGCCCTGTCTCCTCAAGTCCTGCTCTTGCACCTGCATGCTGCCTTCTAGGAATTTGTTGAAATATCTCATCTCCTGATTGCTACTCCCTTCCCTTCCTCTTCACTCTCCTGTGTGTTTTGGATTTTTATCTTTCTGTTTCTTCACTATCATTTAATGGGAGGATGGGTCTTAGAAGAGAGAAGAAATACATGTGTGTGGTCAGTCCATAGTCTTAAGCCAGAAATAACATGACTTCACAAGGATCTTTTGAGCTGTATGAATTTATGTTAGGAAGCATTTAGTAATATCCTGTATCCTCTCATTACCATAAGATTTTCACAGGAAACCTCTTATAACGTAGGTGATTAGGATATTTGGACTGGTATTCACATTATAAGTTAATTATGTCCTGTCAGGCTATTGCTTGATATCATCATTATATACTAGGGACTTAATTTAGCCCATAGAATGCTCTACTAATTGAATAATAAGTGAACTTTGTATACTGAAGTTCTTGCACATTAAATTGTGTGAAGATTCTAGCCTTAAGCATCCCACAAATAAAAGGAAAAGGCAATTGATTATGGACACTATATTTACACAAGTTCGTTGAATTGGAGGAATGTTTTTTTTTTTCTTCTGAAATTCTTGATTTTATTTAGGAAGGCTTTCTGAAGGATGTTGGGCATGTGATTAAGTTTAGTGTTGGAACCAAGGTATGGCAGGGAGTGCAGAGCCAGGAAAGATTTGATGTAACAGACTAGAGCAAAGTGCTGTTATGAACAAATTCTTTGTACGCTTTGGGAAAGTATAGTGTTTAAGATGCCATTTCACCCCTTGCTTTAAAAAATTATCTGAAAAACTCTTAGATTGGTACCCTTTGAGGTACCCCAGTGCTTCAATATGGAGGCCAAACTATAAACCTCTTTAAATTTCCACATGGAAATTTTTTTTAATATCTGTTGAAAATGTGATAGAATCCTCAAAAATAAATGAAATTAACTATAGAAATAATGAAACATGTCACTGTTCTCTGACAGTGTAAAAATTGAAAAATTTACATAAGGAAAATAAGAACAAATAAACACATAGTTAAAACTCAAGTGAAGATTAATTGAACCATTTTTATTGGAGCTGGTGTTTTATAGATCTGCCCACATAAATTTGTTCGTCATTGATTACATAGTAAGTTTATTTTATTTTTCTTATTTTGTATAATGTTTAGGCCATGGTTATTTAAAGTTTCTTTCTTTGTAACTGTACTTATTTTAAAATTATTTCAGAATTAATTAATTAAAAAATTCAATTTTTTAATAAATGTTTCTGAGAGGAGTTTCTTGAGTCGTGATGTGTTGATAGTAGTAGTAATGTAGAACACTTAGATATTTTATTAACTTCAGTAATTAGTATAGCTTCACTCCGTGCATGATTTGAAGTTCATGGAAGTAGATAATTTACTGTATCAATGAAATTTATTGTGAAGGAATAAATCTTTCATGGCAAATCATGAATTTGTAAAGAATTGGTTTTTCCCTCTTAGAGAACAGTAAGATTTTGCATTGCTGTAAAATTAATGTTAGACTTACTCCTTTTACTTTTTACTTCTTTGTTTTATTTAAAAGAAACCTTGCAAGTACAAAGACTTTTACATGTTTTTACTCCATCAATTTTTATAGCGTTCAGTCTATTATATCCAAGATCAATAAGGATATAGTGGTTAATTATCACAAGATTGGTGATTGAGTTCAACCTCCTATA